GTTTAATGAGAACAAACAAGAAGAGACCGATTCAATGGTATCCTTATAGGTTTAAACCATGAACCTTAATGACCTCTCCGGTTTACCCCCACACACCACAAGTCATATTTGTGTTCTCCCTGAGCGCTATTATGGCCATGCGCATAAATCCTTTTCATGACCCTTTAGAAGATAAACCACTAATCTTCACTTGAGGCGGCACCACCTCTAGATCATATAGGCATAGTTTTACAACATCTTCGTTGCTTAGATGTCTCCAAAACTACGTTAAGAGTCGTAACTCAACCTCATTCTCGGCAACGACGCACTATCCTACCTCACATGGATCTATCATGAATGATAGTACCTTCTATCGTTAGTGATTTCGTTGTTACCCTTTAAACTTGAAAATTAGGAGCACTAATGTCAAGTTGGGTTTCCATCACTAAACGATTCTATTGTGGTTTTAGACCCATGACTCTCGTGGTAGATGTAACCAAATCTCTCGTCAGAGGTTTGGTAAACGGATCTGCCAAGTTCCTACTTGTCTTGACATAGACAACCTTGATGGTACCACTTTCAATTAGTTGTCTCACAAAATTGTGACGCAGACCTACATGTCTTGACTTCCCATTATATACCGCATTATATACTTTAGACAGTGTGGCCTCACTGTCACAGTACATGGGTATTGAAGGCATCGGAATATCCCACAAACGTATATCCATAAGTAGATCTCGAATCCACTCTGCCTCTTTGCCTGCTGCTGCTAAGGCAATTAGCTCAGCTTCCATCGTTGAATGAGCTATGCATGTCTGTTTCTTGCTCGCCAAGAAATAGCACCACCAGCTAGAGTATAAATCCAACCACTTGTGGACTTTGAATCACTGGTGTGATCAATCCAGCTGGCATCAGAATAACCTTCAAGTATTCCATTAGATGACGAATATGTCAATTCAAAAGTACTTGTCCTTTTCAGGTATCCTAGTACTCTACCCACTGCTTTCCAGTGCTCCGTCCCTGGATTAACTGTATACTGACTCAACTTGCTTACAGCGAATGCGATGTCAGGTCGCGTGCAGTGAGTAGCATACATCATGCTCCCAACTGCACTAGCATATTCTAGTTGGGCCACAGCTCGACCAGAATTCACCTTAAGTTTCACACTTGAATCAAAAGGAGTGTTAAATTCCTTAATGTTCAAATGTTGAAACTTTGTCAGAATTTTCTCTATGTAATGAGATTGACTCAGAGAAATCTGACCACCCGTCCTCTTCACCTTGATACCAAGAATAGTATCTACTTCTCCAAGATCTTTCATCTTAAAGTTCGAGGATAGGTATTTTCTTCGTCTCAAGAATACCTTCTAGGTGAGTGCCAATGATCAACATATCATCAACATAAAGACATATAACTACTATGTAATCAGATGTATGTTTAGAGTAAATACATCTTCAGCACTATTGTGCTGAAAACCAAAGGCAGTCACAGTGGTGTCAAATCTCTCATGCCACTGTTTAGGAGCTTGTTTCAACCCGTACAAAGACTTAACAAGTCTACATACTTTGTTTTCTTGTCCAGGTATTACGAAACCTTCAGGTTGCTCCAGGTAAATCTCCTCTTTGAGATAACCATTCAGAAAGGCTGTCTTCACATCCATTTGATGAATATACAATCCCTTCAAAGCTGATATTGCTATGAGAGTCTAATTGAACTAATTCTAGCAACTGGGGCATAGGTATCAAAATAATCGATCCCTTCTCGCTGCCTATAGCCCTTTGCAACCAACCTTGCTTTATAAGCAGATATGGATCCATCAGGATGATATTTCTTCTTGAATATCCATTTGGATCCTATGGGTCTTCTCCCCTTGGGTAGATCAGCTAACTCCAAGTTCCATTACCCATAATTGAATCCATTTCGTCATTGATTGCTTCCTTCCACAGAGGAGCATCCCGAGACGTCATGGCTTCAGTAAATGTCTTAGGATCATCATCCAAATTAATTGAAAAGATGACCTCTCTCGTCACTTTCTTTTGTGTTCCTTCGACCAATAAGAATAGAAATCATCTCCAAAGGTTTTCTCAATTCTAGCCCTAGTACTTCTCCTTGGTTCCTCCACACTGGAGGAGGTAGAGTATTTCTCGAGAGGTACTTGTAAGTGTTGTATGACTAGAGTTTTCTTCATCCTTAGAAAACTTGTCCTCAAAGAATTCCACATCTCTGGATTCCACAACAACACCAGAATCAATATCTAGTAATCGGTAAGCCTTGCTATTTTGAGCATATCCAATAAATATACTCTTATTAGCTCGTGCTCCCAATTTGGTTCGCTTAGGATCGGAGTCCGATAATAAGCAACACACCCCCACACTTTCAAATAGTCTAGGTTAGGCTTTCTACCTTTCCACAACTCATAAGGGCTTGTAGGAATCACACGACTAGTGATCCTGTTATGAACATAACAAGCAGTCAATAGTGCTTCCCCCCACAGATTGTTTGGTTGACCGATTGGTTCAACATACAGTTGACCATCTCACAAAGAGTTCGGTCTTTCTTTCAGCCAAACCATTCTGTTGAGGGGTGTATGGTGATGTTCTCTCATGTTTGATTCCATTCTCTTCGCAGAATGTGTCAAACTCTTGGTTGAAATATTCTCCGCCTCTGTCCGAGCGAAGAATTTTGATGTGTCTTTCAAGTTGATTTTCGACCTCAGCCTTATATCGTTTAAATGCATCAAAAGCTTCATCTTTTGATCTCAGCAAATAAACATGTAGATATCTACTGAAGTCATCACAGAATGTGATGAAATACCTTTTTCCTCCTCGAGTAAGGATTCCATTTAACTCACATATATCAGAATGAATCAACTCAAGTAAAGATGTGTTTCTCTTAACTGATGGAAATGGTTTCTTTGTGAACTTTGATTTTACACATGTTTCACATTTTTCAAAATCTTTTGAGTCATATTTTAACATACCTTTAGTTTGCATTTTTTTCAATGTTTTTAACATTAGTGTGAGCTAAACGTTTATGCCATAAAGAAATTGAACAAACAATATAACCAGAAAAGTTCACTTCATTCACATTAGCAACCAATCCATCAATTACATCATTACCAACACTCGACACCCTAGCAACACTAGAAACACCATACTCAACACTAGGACCACTCACATTTCCCTCATCACTAAGACACAAGCGATACATTCCGAAGTATTGTTCGCCCTCCCAACATGTCTTCTGCCTTTAGTGATCACAATTTTGCCTCTCGCAAGCACCATCTTGAACCCAGCCTTGTCAAACTTGTCCGCAGAAACCAAACCCTTCGAGATGGTAGGAACATGAAGAACATCTCGAAGAGTCACCCATTCACAACGTGTGAACTTCAAACGAACGTCACCCCTTCCTAGAACTTCAGCTCTATGGCCATCAGCACAGACGACAACCGTCCCATGAGGCATGGGTTGGTAGGTGCGAAAGCTCTCTCGTTGCCCACAAACATGCACAGTGGCTCCAGTGTCTACGAACCAACCTCGAGCACAGATTGCTCGAGTAGAGAGGAGATCATGAAAATCTCTCCAAGGTTCACACTAGCCACCATTTCAGTAACTTTCTCGACTGCATGTGCAACCGGTATGGATTTGCGATCTTTGCATTCTCTCGCATAGTGCCCAATCTCTCCGCAGACGTGGCAAGGACCGGCCCTTTTGGCTTGAGTTAGGATTTTGATGACCCGGTTTTTGAAGCTTTGTTTTTGGGCCCAAAGTTCTTCTTGTTCTGTCCCCCAGATTTGCCTTTGTGGCTAGAATTCCCACCTGACACATGATGCACACTTTGTCCAACTTTACCTCGCTTGTCCCTGATGCGAGTTTCCTCCTCAATGCGGAGGTGTTTCATCAGATCATCCAAGGAGTAGTCCTCAGATTTGTGCATCATTCTCTTAGAGAAATCTTTCCACGAGGGTGGCAGTTTTGCGGATTATCGCACCAACCTGAAAGAGTTCTGGAAGAGAGATGGTGAGTGCGTTCAACTTGTTGACCATGACTTGGAGTTCATGCACTTGCTCCATAATTGGTTTGTCATCAACCATTTGAAACTCAAGGTACTTGGACACAAGGTACTTATTAGTACCTTCTTCATGTGCCTTATACTTGAGTTCCAACGCACTCCAAAGCTCTTTAGGATCTTTGACCGGCGAGTAAAGATCATAGAGCCGATCAGATAGGGAATTCTTGATGTGACCCACACACAATTCCTCGGATTCTCTACGCAGAATCCTTTGTTTTTCCAGTTCTGCAATGACCGTTGGGTCCACAGATTCCCCTTCCTTTGGAATGGATCATCAGGAATTGGTGCCAGTTTTGGGTCCAACAAAAAGGAGAGCTTCAAGACATGAAGCATGAACTTGACCTTTTCGGCCCAACGAGTGTAGTTCTGACCATCGAATTGGTCAAGTTTGGCAAACTCTTGGTTCATGAAGTGGAGGCTAGCAGTAGAGTCCATTAGTCTGTTGATTGATCACAATGTATAAAAACCTTTAAGATTGTTGTAAATCAAAAGACACGCAAGGAAACCGACAAATAATATTGTGAATTATATGTCGATTAGTTGCGAATAATAATTCAATTATTATTATTATATTACCGAGTTTCGTCCAAAACCAATCTATCCTTCTCGATTAGATCCGATTATAAGAAAGGTAGAAGAAGACTGTCCTGTTATTGGACGAATGAAACACAAGACAGAAAATAAAACCGACCTGTTGATAGCTGACTTGATCTTGAAGCAACTGCACGGATCAGATTCCTGTCCTTAAAGGTTTTTACTTCGCTTGTATTGGCTGTAAGCAACAGAGTAAAACCCCAGGATTTAATGCAGCTAGATCGATATTCCAACAGCACTGGAAATCGACAAACACAAAGCGACTACTCGGAAACTAAAAGAAAAAACCGCAGAGAGAGGGAGAGAGCTTTGAGAATTCGTGTGTGTTCTGAATGGCTCCTAGAGAGCTATATTTATAGGTATCGAAACCCTAGAAGGCATAAACCGGGCCCCATAGGCCGGCCCCAGAAACCCTAGGGCGACAGCTTGCTCTCCAAGCAAGCCGTTTCCTTATCCTTCTAGAATGCCCCGATGACTTATGCATTACGAAGTCAACGCCGGTCAACCATTTGACCGGTTCGGTCAAATCGGCTTGACCCGAACTCACCAAAAACAAAAGCTCCTCAGCTCCCAGCGACCGATGCGTCGTGCGAAGTGCAAAGTGCGCCTAAATCGCGCCATTTCGTGCACTCGCGGCGTCGGCTAGTGCTAGGCTAGGCTAGGCGCGCGCGTGGGCTTGGCTCATTCCTTTGATCCACTAAAGCCTTTGAAGGCTTACCAAGGGAATAGGCTTATAAACCCCCAAAAGTTTCTTTTCCCCACCAATGTGGGATACAAAGGAAATTGCCAACTTGCAAATCCTTTATATATATAAAGTTCCAACAAGGATCGGATATTATAGAGAACCATAACTTGCACACAGACCTGATCCGTAAGAGCGATTTAACGGGAAGCCTCGACAGAATTTCGATAATGATATCAGGAGGTAGCAATTGAGGATCTTTAGATGTTCCTGAAGAGTGCAACGTCTTGATTTTCTTTGGTTGCTGTCGGTGCTGCTCGTCGTCTTTGTCATGGAGTGCCATTGTCATCTTTGATCGCCGAATAGGCTTCGCGAGATTTTATAATCTCGATAGTGATATTTTGGGAACATCTTATCTTACAACTTATTTATGATTGAACATCGTATCTTTTTTTTTCTTGGTAAGGTATTGTAAAGTTTACAAGTTTTTTTATCTGAAATATTACTAAAAGAGAAACTTTATGACATCATCTTAAATAATCTTGACCATTGATTGTATTTCAATCTTATTTTTTCCACCCTTAGATCAAATTGCTGACATCATCTTCCCCATATGGAATGTATTTAATTCCAATAAATGTTTTCCAATCATCAATCAATAACTTACATTCATTGAAATGGAATGTATTTAATTCCAATGAAAGCTTTCCATATTTTACATCTTGAATTTTCAGTTATGAAGATTTTAATATGATCAATTTTAAAAATATATTACTAACAAATCATTTCAATCAAGGCCTTAATATTAACCATTAATATAAATCCGTTTATATTAGTAAACCAGTAATATAAAATCTTTTTTTATTAGGAAATCATTAATACCGAAAAATCATATTCAAATTATCACATACATATACGATTCATCATTGAATCCACGACTCACATTTATTTTCAATCGATTCTTTTCTTCAAACCTTCTCCTACAACATCGTTAATATTGCTTATCACTTCCATCATCATTCTCTGCTATCAACATTTGCTCTTGTGCGCTAGAAGGTCAGTACCTTTTTTCGCTTTTTATATTTTTTTCGATCATTTTTTGTTCCTATATCAAATGTATGTATTAATATATTTCGATTTTGTTTGTCACAAATTACATGAAATCAGTTAACTACTTTTCTGAAACTTTTCAAATAAACATGAAAAGGTATTAGGTACCTTTAACAAAACAAAAATTAACTATCCTAGGAACTCACATTAATTACGAAAATATTACTTTTATATATTAGAGATGATTATGATTTTTTTTTTAATTTTTATGTCATAAGAGTCCAGCTAATTTTGGCATCATTTTAAAATATCATTGAAATTATTATGTTTTTATATATCATATCAACCTACTTTTTATCTTCGTATAGTAACAATAAAATTTATTAATTTACACAACAAATATAGATATTTCAAATTTTGTAATATTATTATACCTTACAAAATACAACTCCTTCCAAAATAAATTTCATCAGTAATTTCATCCATAATTTCAACAAATTTAAATTTGTATTTTATTTATATAAATTTTTTTTAATGATCCCTGATTTTTTTTCTCCAAAAGTATATCAAACATTTACGTTTTAGATAATGCTGCCCTATTATAATTATTATTTTCCAAAAGTATATCCGTTTAATGAGAAATTTGATATAATAAAGGAAGTGAATGTTAATTAAATGAGATATATATTCCATAATTATTACATGAGTTTATTAAAAAAATTTATATCAAGGTGTAAACATTAAACATTTTTAAAGTGAAATTTCAGAATACATACAAACGATAATGTTGTACAATGAAATATAAAATTGAATACACTCAAAAAAAAAACACTATTAAAGCAGTCAATCTTGAAAATAACATAGTTATAAAAAATTATAAAGTAAGATTAAAATTATAAGATATTAGGAGATTTGTAAAAAGTACATTTAATAAAAGCGTTACGGTTATTACAAAAAATAAGACCGTTAAGATTAGTGAAAATACAATATATAAACTAAATTATCACAATAGTAATGAAATGTCATTATTTGATATTTCATATAATTGACAGATATATCAAATTAAATTGATGATATACTAAAATTATTCAAAGTTGCGCCAAAACTAATGCAAAATTTTTGCGAACACTAAATAAATAAGAACAAACATAAAAGCTATCAATTTATATTTATAATCAATTTAAAATAAACCAATCATGATTTAAAAAAGAATCTCCATTGATGATATACTAAAATTAAATCTATATAACATTTAACATTTTATAAATTATATTACATAACTTTATTTGAATAAATAAAATAGTTGTTAATATTTAATACAATAGAAAAAACGGTATATTAATTGTCAATATATGTTTAAATTAGGTAACATTAGTACGCAATGAACGTCTAATTAAAATGCTTATATATATATCATAACTATATAACACAAGGAAAATCGTTCAACTAATAAAACAAAAAATGATGTCTACAAAAAAATCTTTCAATGATTATATATATATATATATATATATATATATATATATATATATATATATATATATATATATATATATATATATATATATATATCGTTTTCATTGTATTTTCTACATATTTCAATAATACCAATAGTCATATATATTTTTTTATAATCATTATACAATATCTATAAACGATTATATGTTTTTTTATGCGTTTCCCGCGTTTAACGCGGGCTATAATCTAGTTTATAAAACAAAACAAGATATCATAAAAATAATAAATGTTGATATAAAGATTTATATCTATTTTACACGCTTTCAAATTATTTCTTATTGACAAAAAAAATGCAAAAATGGTCCATGTGTTTTCTTATTTTATATGGTTAAGATCTAAATATTTCAAAAGTTATAAATTTAGTCATTTTTAACAAGTTTTTTTTTATGGTTTTGGTCACTTTTCAGTTAGCTTTAATAGTTTGTCTGTTAATTTTTTTAAAATGATGGTGTATTTGATTGGCAAGAAATGAATGGAATTCGAAGGAAAAAGATTCCAATTCTCTCAAATTCATTCGCTTGGTTGGACTTAGAGGGGGGAAAATGATTCTTAAATGAAATAAACTTTTCACCATATAGAGGAAAGTAAATTTCTTCCAATGTTGATGAAAAACATTCTTTCTCATCAAGGAAATTGACAAATTATAAAAATACCCCTTATACTTATCAGAAAACATACAACTACTACAATCACCAACCACCACCACCTCCACTGCCACTGCCGCCACCGACCACCACCACTTCCGCCGCCACCACCCATTACTACCGCTACCGCTACCGTGGCTACTACCATTACCATCAACCACCACCAGCACTACCAACGCTGCCGCCACCACCTCCGCCATCACCCACCACCACTACTAACGTCGACATCACCATTATCACCACCACCAACACCGTTATCGCCATTAACCGCTACCAACAACTTTAGCATCACTGTCGTCGTCAATGCCAACAGCCGCCACTGTTACCATCACCACCACCACTTCCACCACAATCAACGTCACCGCCACTATTATCACCCCCGTCGCCGCCACCATCATCGCCACCCACCATTTATCATCGTTGCCATTACTATCGCCTCCACCACCCCCACTATCACTGCCACCATTGGCTAAATTTTAGTGTTTTTATAAATTATATACTATATCTTTACATATAAGTTAGAAAACAAGGTAAATTTAAGAAAAATAGGAACAAGGGTAATTTTGTTATTTTACATGAATTCCAACTCTATTTCATGCAAACCAAATAGAATCTAGAATTAATTCCAATTTCATTTCCTGCAAACCAAACAACATATGGAATTGGATTGAAATTCCTGACAGATTCATTTTCCATTTCAATTCAAATTCTTTCTGTAACATTCTGCGAACCAAACAACACCTGACTGTGAGACGATTTCTACAACGAAACTACAAGGACTATTTCTATATATCTTCTTTTTAATTTTCTTTAATTATTATATATTAATAATTGTTATTTTTAATATATAATATTTATATATTAATAAATATTATATTACAAGATTATTAATTTCTTTTAATTAAAATATTTAATTTCTTTGTTATTGGATTTTTTAATTGGATTATTATATATGAATAAATATTATTTTTAATGTATAATTAGTGAAGTATCCCAGCTTTGTTTGGGGGGGGGGGGGGGGGGGATTTGTATTCGATTATTTGCAAAAGACGAGGTCATCATATTTCATTTAAGTGAAAGGTACAATTCCTTAATAACAAAAATCTATAATTGTAGTTTATAGCGATACAATATAAAGAAATAGAAGTAGGATGGTATAAGTTAATACACAAACAAATGAAAATACATTTTTATTTTCAACAAAGTAAACATGATAATGGAATGGATGGTTCATTCCATTCAACTGTTCATTGTAGTTTTTATAGTTAATTGATCAAGTTGTGGAGCACCAGAAACCATAGGCTTTGGAATATGATTGACACTTCAAGTTGCAAACAAAATTCAATACAAAAAATCTATCATCTTGCAAAGAACAAATGGTCCTAGAAAATATTATTTTTCCAAAATTAGTATGGCCCAAGAATAGCTATGCTACCCTACTTCAAGTCAACTCTTGCATCTGGTCATGCACCTCCACTATATATGTAGAACATGTTACATGTATTCATTCAACTTTAATTCTTTTAATATATTAAAACTAAAATAATGAGTGATTATATGGTTCACCTTTTTTTGACCTGTGGTTCAGATGTAACCTTATGTCGCAATCTGTGTATATGTAGGTTTTCACATCTAGGAGTTACTATTGTAGTTTTCCAATTGAATATTGACCATATGAATGAAATTGCAATATGCCTCTAGCCCTCTGCCTTAAGAGCCATTTTTGGAACTCTCAACCATAATCGATATCTTACAAATGATCCTCACTTCATTTTCTAGTTATGTATGTTTCGGTGTGATCTTTTCAGACCTTTCATAAAAGAATCCTTTACCACTTGCTTTAACGACCAATGCAGAGGTAAGGCTTCCTGCATTCAGAATGAAATATAAATGGTTAGGGTCTTATAATGGCAGGTTACATTGACTCAAATGTTGAGGTTATTTTTGGCAGTGAAGATATAGTTGTGCTGATCAAACAATCTAAATAGATACATCCACAATAGTTGGGTCATCCAATTACCTCTTATGTTTTCTATAATTATATTTTGATTATTTTTGTAAACCTATACTTGTATATCTTCTCCAATACTACAAACACTTGCAATGGCCTTTTAGCTTCACTAGATTTAGTTTCCAC